TCACTATACCTCATGACTTGCCTTTTCCAATTAGGAATCTTTTTCCTTTGTGGCAAGCAATCCTACCTGTGTCTGCCCACTAACTAGACAGGTATGTATATCTTAGCCTATTTGTTCCCCCATATCAATGTGGCCCCCAACAACCAGTCCCTCCCCCATCCCCATCACTAAGCACATCAGCCAAAAAAGGGCAATCTCTCTACTTCCTTGTCTAGTAACATTATAGACACTTGCAGAAGTGGCCACCAAGGTGGGTGAACCGTCCATTCTGTCATCTACCAGAGAGTGACACAAGATAACCTCCAGGACCTCATACTACCTAGTCAAGATCCAGGGCCAGTGGGATCATATTATTTCTGCTCTTCACTGTAATGTGCTTTAAAAAAAAAAAAAAAAACCCAACCAAACAAACAACAACAAAAAAAAAACAACAGTCCAAAACGTCACCTAACACCAGGTAGAAGAAAATCATTCTACAAATCAACAAATTGATCACTCAGTCAGTCAATCACCAACAAATCCTTTACAGGGGAAAAAACATAACCCTAAACAATGCCGCAATACAACAGACCACAATGGCCCCTTCCAGTCTTCCCTTCTGCCCATCTGGGGGACACATGTACTGCACTGAAGGTCTGCGGCTCCACTGAGCAGCTCATGGGAGTCGTAAACTCAGCCCCAGTAAAGGTTTAAGAGGACTAAGTTTAAAATGGAAAACAAAGACACTTTACTTGAAAGAAAGAGAAGAAGCAGGGAACAGAAAGCTATCCTATGAGAGCATAAGGGGCTCCGGAAAGATGTGGACCTGTGGGCCCTTTGTTTTCAGCTGTTCTGTTGGGTTCCAGAGCTCTTCCCCCTCCTTGGACCTTGTCCTAACCCTATGGCTCTCTAGGTTGTCATAGATGGATCTTAGGGCCCGAGACCCTTAACCCCCCACTGCATTGCCTTGCGTACATTCCTAAGTGGTCTTTATTTCATTTTCTCTCGCCCTGTCAGGCCCTATCTCTAAATTAATAGCTTGCTTAAGAGAGACCTTACAGAAAAGGTCGAGAGTTAGCAATTATGTAAAAGGAAACCTAGTGAGAGAATATATACTTGTGTGTACTCCTATATATTGAATAAGAGCTGTCTTTAAGTGGCTGCCCCTTGTCTCCTTTGCATTTCACTGGAGGGTTGGCGTACAAGGCTAACTTGGTTAGGGCACTTGGGCTTATCAGCTTTCTCTGGTCTTGGTGTTAATAGCTCCCTTAGCAAAGCTGTAACCCTTTCTGGTCAGGAGTAGTCAAAAAGCCACAATGAAACACTTATTTTATAATTCTTGTCTAAATACCCTCTCCTCTACACTTCCCTGATCCCAACATTCGTTTTTTCCCCCTTTTTTTCTATTCCTCTATAACAAAAGGCTGAAATATTATTTAAAGTCTCCCCTGTCCCCAGTAGCTTAGCTTCTATTCTATTCTATGTAAGTTTAAAGTCAGCTGACTTTTCCAGCCCTCTTTTCTTGGAGGTGCTCAGCGTACCTCCCAGGCACAAAAGCTGTGGTCCTGCCTCTGGGCTGCGAGTGAAGCCACACTGAAGACCTTTAATCTGCTGCTGTACTTGTGCTAACAAATCTGAATCAATTGGTGGTCTGTGGGTCTTAAATCCATCTAGACATTTTCTGTTTGTAATACTAAGAGCCCACATTTAGTGAGTACTCACTGTTGCAAGGTATTATTCTAAGAGTTTACTACATTCGTTTATTTTTGTTCTTGTTTTATAGACAGCAGAATGAAGACACTAAGGGTTAAAACAAGATTCACAATCAAGTATCAAAGCTGGGATTTGAAAACTAACCCACTATTAACCACTGTGCTGTAATTCTTTTGAGGTGGAAGTTCTAGAAATTCTCAAGGTAAAGAGAGGGGCTTAAGGGCTGACACCAGACTAAAAAGATAAAAGAATCAGCAGTAAGTTAAATGTATTTTCTTCTGATTATGTTACCCTAACTGTGGGAGACTGAAAGTGCTAGCAAATTTAAAAATGTTTTTATCGTAGAATTTATCCCCACCTTTTAAAATAAGCCTTAAAAAGGCTGGCCAGATAGCTCAGTGAATTAAAGCGCCTGCTTAGGCAGGTGCAGGGACTGGGTTCAATCCCTAGCACCACATGCCACACAAGCTCTGCCCATAGGATGGGCTGAGCCAGCCACCAAGTCTGGGCGTAGTGACAGATGCCTGTAATCCCAGAGTTTGGGAAGCTGAAAACAGGAGGATCACTATGAGTTTGATTTGTGTAGTGAGACCCTGACATAAAATAAAAATAAGCATTACGGGCCTGTGAGATAGCTCAGTGGACTAAAGCACCTGCTTAGGCAAGCTTAGGCAAGCGCAGGGACTGCACTTTGATCCCCAGCACCACAAGTCATGCCAGTCCCACCCCAGGGCAGGCTGAGCACACCAGAGTCCTAGCACTGAGGAGGCTGAAAGCAGGAGAATCCGAGCTGCATAGTGACACCCTACAACAACCTAATACATAAAATAAAAATAAGTAGAATAAGCTTTATTTCCAAATGTCCATTTGAGTTTTTTTTATTTTAATTGTATGTACTTTCATGTAGTAATTCAGTCCAAGTGTACAATATATAGTGATCAAGGCAGGATAACTGGCATTTTCATCTCCTCAAACATTTCTTTCCATATTTGGGATTCACACTGAAGTTATTTATGCCATAGATGTTACATTGTTTAGCCAGGCAACAAAACAAAACAGAAATCTTCAAAGGTCCCATCAGTCACACAGATCTTAGTTATCTTTCTAGCCACATCCAAACTCCTGAAGATCTTTTACCTCAAAGTGTTTATTAAGATTTTTTTAAGTATAAACGCCAAGCAGGCATAGTGTTATGACACCCCTGTAATCCCAGCACTTGGGAGGTGAGGCAGAAAGATCTCTGAGAGTTCAAGACCAGCCTGGGCTACAAGGTGAGCTCAGGGCCAGCTCAAACTGGCTAGCGGGACCTGGTCTCAAAAAGACTAAAAAAGAAAAAAGTTTTTAGGTATGGTTACTTGAATAAGACTATTTTCCCATTGGCTTATATATATAAAAGGTCAAAAAGGACTCATGCTTATGTTTCATGCTTGACATCAAGTAGTCAACAAGAGGATTTCCTTCTTCCAGAGCAAAGGAAGTGTGAGCCTTAAGAACTTGGCCCTAGTACCTGGCAGACTTTCTGCCTTTGAATCTCAGTCCACTACTTCACACATTTCAAAGTCTTATATACAGCTCAAGAGAATGACAGGACCTGAATTGATGCACTGCAAGCACCTAGGAGGACAGTAACTGCTCAATATGAAGTAAACAAATGCTTAGTGTTGAAATTATTATCTCAGTCATGGATCCATGCAAAATAAAAAACGTGCATCATAATTTACATTTTGTTTGTTGGTTGAGACAGGGTCCTGCTATGTGGTCCAGGTTGGCTTCAGCTTTTCGAGTGTTGAGATTATAGCCCTGAGCCACCAACCATGCCTGGCTTCCATAACTTACTTTAAAAAAAAAAAATATTTATTTATTTTGGCCAGCTCAGCCCACCCTGAGTGTGGGGCTGGAGTGGCATGTGGTGCCAGGGATCCAACCTTAGGCCTAAGCTTGCCTAAGAAGGCGCTTTAGACTGCTGAGCTACCTTGCTGGCCCCATAACTTACTCTTGAGCAAAAATAAATTACTAAAACCATGTTTTCAAGCTCTAAAAAAGATGTATAACGGATTTAACAACCGTACAACAGGTGACACATCAGTGCAAGTTTATCTTCTGCCAATATGTGGATTTAATGGGCTGCAAAGCAGCATCAGGTATCCCCTTTAGTAAATATCTTGCTATTTTAAGATGTAGCACACTTAAAATATACAGATCATTGCACGGTAGTAAAGCCTTTCTGTTAAGAGTTTTCCTTGTGTACAATTTTGCAAACTGTAGATGAAAAATATTCCTGACGTTTGTGTGTATTTGAGATGACTGTTAAGCTTGAAAGCAAGTCTGGTCTCCTCCAAGACTGAGATGAGGTGGATTCGTTCTGTAGCACCCCTACAGAAGTGGAAAAACTAAGAAATGAATCTCGGTGCTAGGGACCCGTTTCCTCTCGGCCCCGGCCCCGCCCCCGCCTGGTAGCCCCGCCCTGGCCGCGCCCCCAGCAGCGCGGCCTGTATTTCCCACGAACCTCTTCGGCTGCCACTCTTTGGAAGGGGAGCGCGCCTGCACTGAAGTGGCCATTAAAATGAGAATCCCTGTAAAAATAAAAATTAAATTTAAATTTAAAAA